GAAGGTACACCCTGAGTTATCTGGCATGTTAACAGGCAGTCATGTGGAAGTGAGGACATCTTCCCCTATCTTCTCCTCTACCACCTTCTCCAACCTCACTGAGGCTTTCAGGCCTCTAGGCAGACAGGAAAGGGGATTCAGTTGTTGTGCTGTTACTCCTTCCTTACCTGCCTGTCTACACACTGCAGCATGAGGCTTTAGGAGTAGCCCTGTGAGCCATACTTCCTTCCAAGTAGGTTTCACAGGGAACTTGGCAGGTGGAAAATGGATCATAGCAGTGCTAACGTCGCTTTCCCACTTCAATTTTAAATTCTTTGTTATTTTGGTTACTAAAGATAAACCCTATTGGTGGGTTAAGGAAGAGACATGATTGATTCCTCATTTTAATTCCCCACTTCAACTCAAATGTTTTGCTACTTGGATACTTGGCCACTGCAGCATATTGCTGCCAAAGTTTGGCTGCAAAACTTATTACCCTTCTCCAGCTATATATCACACATTGAATTTTGATGGCTGGCAGCTGTTATTGCCTTTACTGGCTGTCAGAGTCAAAGAGGCCAATAAAAGAACAAGTAGAGTGAATCTTCCCACATTACAGAGATAAGCTGGCATCTTGTTGATTAGTCTCAACTAAAGTAGACCTCTTCAATTAACTGTTGAATGACAAGTTGATACTTAAGCAAATCATATGGATGCCTCACCTCTAGTCAAGACTAACAATAGGTTTTAGGCCTTAATGTGTGAGATGAGTTAACTATTAGTATCAATTCATGGTTGATGACCATAACAATGACAGTGATTATTTATATATTGACTTTCTCCTAATCCAGGACTCAACATGGCTTACTAAAGTTAAAATGGATACAGCTAAAAATAAGTAGATAAATCACATTATCCAAAGTTACAATTATACCAATCTTTCCATGCTTTTTTTATTTCTATTTTTCCCCCACTTTGGGGAGAAAGTGACAAATATATGTGTGCCTTCATTTTTAATTGTTTAAAAATAAGGTTGAGTTTATTTTTAATTCATGCTTTCCCTCTCTTTTCCCATTGCTCTGTCATTTTTAGAAGAAGAGTATGAAATTCCATGATCATTCAGGCTCATTAGTTCAAACAGCAAATTTATTGACAAGAGTAAGAGCCAAAACACACTGCAGAATTAATCCAGTTTGAGACCACTTTAACTGCCCCTGGCTTAGTGCTAGGGAATCCTGGGAACTGTAGTTTGTTGTGGCACCAAAGCTCTCTGACAGAGAAGGCTAAATGTCTCACAAAACTATAGTTCCCAGAATTCCTGAGCATTGAGCCAGGGCAGTTGAAGTGGTCTCAAATGGAATTATTTGGCCCCAAGATAATCCTTGTGTGTGTGTGTATATATTTTTTTCATGTAGGACAAATAAAATTATCAGGAATTGTATAATAATATTGTATAATAATTGTATAATAATAATAATATAAGCCTTTAAAAAAGGTTTAGAGAGAAAGCTTTATTTAGATGAGGAACTGAAGCATGTTCTATGGGACATTTCATGGTCTGGGCATTAATTTGTGATATGTGTAAGTGTGATGAAAAAATATATTTATATGCGTGTTTTAATCATAGTTACATATATAACAGAAAAAGTGTTCTCAGAAAATTGTTCCTTCTACCAGAGAATTGTAAGGTAAGCAGAAGTTATTGCCTTTGCACCTCCAACCTAAAAGACAGGATTTTCAAACTCTCAGGCTACTTGACAGATTTGTATCATTTTACACAATTCTTTAAATGTTTATCATTGGGATCACAATTTGCAACTTTACTTATCCCAATGCACTTGGATCCCATTCATCCCCACAACCCTTTATCTGCTAATGTACCTGTGACATTGATTTTGTGCATCTGAAGGAGTGGATTGATATCATTGAAAGTCCATGTTGAAACACATCAATTCATCTTAAAGATCCTAAAAGTTCCTTCTCTTCCTCACTTTCAGGGGGTTTTTTCTGAAACAGATTGACATGGCTATTCCTTTGTAAACTGATACTTGAATATAGTCATGGCCCATTTAGACCACATAATGTTCTTTAGAGTTGCAAACTTATACATGATGGGGGGGGGACTGTTGCCTTCTTTTCTGTGGAAGGGGAAGCAGCTCATACAATCCTTCATCACTGACTGTATTGACTATAGCTGATGCAATAACCTTCACCCCACCAACATCTGGAGGGACACAACTGTTTGTTCCTCTAGCTTGAATTATGAGAAAAGGCATAGAAATCAGCAAAACTGTAACTATTTTGCCCCTCCCCAATCAAAGATGAAACTTCAAATAATGCCTTAAGCATCATAATGTAGTTTGGTCCTATGGGGCCAACAGTGTCACCCAAGAAACAACAATTTAGAGGCACCTGGTGCTTGCAGCCAAAGGGATCTATAGATCCTGGTTTTCTTTTATTTATATGCATCTATACAAGCTTATTTATTTATTTATATGCATCTATACAATCTATACAGGGATACAGTGGCTCAAGTGGTTAAGACACTGACTGTTGATTGCAAAATTGGCAGGTTGGCAGTTCGAGGCCGGGGAGCTACATGACGGGGTGAGCTCCCATCAGTAGTCCCAACTTCTGCCAACCTAGCAGTTCAAAAGCATGCAAATGCAAGTAGATAAATAGGTGCCACTTTGGTGGGAAGGTAAACAGCATTCTATGCAATCATGCTGGTCACATGATCACAAAGTAGTCTCTGACAATGCTGGCTCTTCGGCTTAGTAATGGAGATGAGCAACACCCCCTATGGTCGGACATGACTTGACAACCTTGTCAATGAGGAATAACTTTACCTTTGTACAATCTTCAGTTGCTTGTCTTTATGTTTTGTCTAAGATTAATTTCTATGATTTTAAACAATTTCTAACTTCAAGCCCACACCCTTATAATATAGAGATTTTATTTATTTATTTATTTATTTATTTATTTATATATTTAGTAATGAGGCCTAGTTTCTGTTTGATCCTGCTTTGCTGTTATTCCTCATTGTGTGGCATCCTCATATAAGCTGTCCACTTTCCCATTAACAATCAGTTTGACATGCAAGCTATGGGTAATGTATAAAATGTATGTAGATTTAAAGCATGGGTAGGCAAAATGAAGCCCCCCAGGGCCATTTTTGTGGCCCTCCACAACCCCTAGGAGGTCATTTTTTTTCAAACAAAATTGCTCCAGGGTGTCCCCCAAATGCTCTAAAGTGTCTGAAGGACATTCTTCTCAGTGGTCAAAAACAATTTTTGCAAAACTGCTCCAAAAAATTGTTCACTGGGAGGCAAGCAGCACACTTATTTAAAATATTGTATAAAATTACCTTCAGGGTATGTATATAAGGTACATCTAAAACATACATGAATGCTTTGTTTATACTTGGGTCCCATTTCAAGATATCTCATTATGTTGTTGTTCTTGTGTGCCTTCAAGTCATTTCTGACTAATGGCAACCCTAAAGTGAACCTATCCTGGGGTTTTCCAACAGTCTGGAATTCTGGGAACTGAAGTCCAAAACACCTGGAGGACCAAAGTTTAGGAACCACTGAGCTAGATGTTCTCCTGCTCTTATATTCATGAAAGAAAGTGGGGAGTAGCAGCTGTTTTAAAAGCAATTAGTTGCTATGCTAGTTCTACTGCCCCCAGTGACTCCTGATGGCTTCCATATCAGCGGGACAGTCATTGGGCTCCATCCACCCAAAATGATTTCAGCACCTTGGGCAGCTCCTTTCAATATTGGCCTACAAACTGGTCATGAAAACTACCAGCCACTACTGAATACCACCAAAACGCTCTGCTCTGGGGCCACAACAAACTACAGTTCCCTGAATTCCATATCATAGAGCCAGAGCAGTTAAAGCGCTGTCACACCGGATTATTTCTGCAATGTGGATACAGCCTTCATCCCTTTGGAGCTGTATTAGAGTAGGGAGAGCGGCAGATTTTTCTCAACTGGTTTCGGAGAGAGATACCTTTGACTCGCCAATCTATGACTTCTGCTGCTTCTGCACTGCAGCATTAATACAGTTTGACACCGCTTTAACTGCCATGGCTGCATCCTATGGAATCCTGGGATTTGTAGTTTGTTGTGGTAACTGAACTCTCTGACAGGGAAGGCTAAATAGCTCACAACACTGCCAATCCCAGAATTCCATCTCATTGAGCCTGGCAGTTAAAGCGGTGTCAAACTGCATTAATGCTGCAATGCAGATGGAGCCTTTAAAGGGAAGCCTTCAGTTGTTTCCATCCACTTCAAGGAACGTGAGAAAGCGGTCTCTTAATTTCACTTGCTGAATGCCCCAGTCCCTGGCATCAGTTTTGAGGGACAATTTCTCTCAGAAGCCTTACTTTCAAAAGAGACACATGCTTGTTTATGTGTGCGTGTATATGGTCCAAAACACACTGCAGAAATGATCCCGTTTGAGACCGCTTTAACTGCCCTGGCTCAATGCTAGGGAATTCTGGGAACTGTAGTTTGGGGAAGATATTTAGCCTTCTCTGTAGGAGAGCTCTGGTGACACAGTAAACTACAGTTCCCAGCCAAGATTCCCAAGCACTGAGCCAGGGGAGCTAAAGCGATCTCAAACTGGATTATTTCTGCAGTGTGTTTTGAACCTAAATCTCACTCTGTGTGCATAGATCAGGGGTAGGCAACCTTTCCCCTTTAAGGGCCGAGGGACTTCAGCTCCCAGAAGCCTCAGCCATGTTGGCCAATAAGTCCCATGTTGGCCAATAGCTCCTGGGATTCTGGGAGATGAAGTCCCTCGGCCCTTAAAGGGGAAAGGTTGCCTACCCCTGGCATAAATAGAAAGATAGATAGATAATTATCTGCCTTCGAGTCTTTTCCGACTTATGCCAACCTTAAGGCAAACTTATCATAAGGTTTACTTAGGAAATTTCTTCAGAGCGGGTTTGCCATTATCACCTTCTGAAGCTGAGAGTGTGTGATTTTCACAAGGTCACCCAGTGGCTTGTCATGACCCAGCGGGGATTCGAACCCTGGTCTCCAGATTCCTAGCTGAACCTGAAACCACTACACCAGGCTGGTTCATGATATAGATACATGTACCATATACTATAGATCTATAGGTACCAAATACTAGGAGCCCTTTGCATCCACTGTGGCTTGGTTTCAGAACCCCCGCGGATACCAAAATCCGTGGATGCTCAAGTCCCATTAAATACAATGGTATAGTAAAATTGTGTCCCTTATATCAAATGACAAAACCAAAGTTTGCTTTTGGGGCATTTTTATCTTTTTTGAACATTTTCAAAGCCTGGATAGTTGAATCCCTGGATAAAGGATCCATGGATAGGGAGAGCGGATTGTAGACACAGATTCTTACCCTTCCTGGGGATGATGGTTTTATTCTCCCTGGCCCGTCCAGCTCCTGTGCGAAAGGGAAGAACGTTTCTCCCCAAAAATGTGCCTCCTGGGGTGAAATTCAAAACTAAAAAAAAGAGAGATCGTAATTTCGAGTGATGATGCTTCGGGTTGGTGACCAGTCCAGTTTAGTTTCTAAATCTCTGATCTGTTTATTTTCTGA